GCCATTTGGGGTGTGAACCAGTGAATGGAAGATCTCTCTCTCTCCTCCTCCTCCTCCATCTCTCATTCTCTCTCTCTTCTCTAACTCTGCCTTTCAATAAATAAGTAAATAAATCTTAAAAGTAAAAAGTCCCTACAGAGATCGGTATTGTGGTGTAGCAGATTAAGCCGCCACCTTTGATTACTCAATCCCATATGGGCACTGGTTTGAGTCCCAGCTGCTCCATTTCTGGTCCAGCTCCCTGCTGATGGCCCAACTACTTGGGCCCCTGCACCCATATAGGATGCCCAGAAGAAGCTCTTCTGCGTGCCCCGGCCCTGTGTAGCCTCTTTGGAGAGTGAACAAACAGGTGCAAGATTTCTGTCTTGTCTCTTCCTCTCTCTCTGTAACTCTGCCTTTCAAATAAATAAATAGATATTTTAAAAAATAAAGTCCCGGCCGGCGCCGCGGCTCACTAGGCTAATCCTCCGCCTAGCGGCGCCGGCACACCGGGTTCTAGTCCCGGTCGGGGCGCCGGATTCTGTCCCGGTTGCCCCTCTTCCAGGCCAGCCCTCTGCTGTGGCCAGGGAGTGCAGTGGAGGATGGCCCAGGTGCTTGGGCCCTGCACCCCATGGGAGACCAGGAAAAGCACCTGGCTCCTGGCTCCTGCCATCGGATCAGCGCGGTGCGCCGGCCGCAGCGCGCCGACCGCGGCGGCCATTGGAGGGTGAACCAACGGCAAAGGAAGACCTTTCTCTCTGTCTCTCTCTCTCACTGTCCACTCTGCCTGTCCAAAAAATAAAAAAATAAAAAAATAAAGTCCCTTACTATTATAATGTTGGAGTATAATTAATATTTAAGTGTGGGCTCATATATATTTTCAAATATTACTTCCTCTTGCTAGATTGAACCCCTTTTCCTTATCTAATGACCTTTCCTGCCTCTTTTTACTGATTGTGATTCAAAATCAATTTTATCTAAGTTTGGTTACTCCTGTTTTCTTTGTGGTTACATTACATGGAATATCTTATTCTATCCTTTCACTTTAAGTTTATTCATATTCTAAGAAGTGAAGTACATTTCTTGTAAGCTGTATATAGTTGGGTTTTGTGAGTTTTATTTTAAATCCACTCAATCAACTTATGTCTTTTAATTGGAAAATTTAATCCATTAACATTAAAGGTTATTATAATTAAGGTCTTAAGACTGCCATTTTGATACTTGTTCTCAAGTTTTATTGTAACTCCTTTTTTTCTCTGTCTCCTACAGTCTTATTGTGTGGTTAAGTGATTTCCTCTAGCAATATGCTTTGATTCTTTGCTTATTGTTTTTAGGAAGACTATTAGAGATTTTTTTGTGTTGGTTACCATGAGGCTTACAAAAACCATCTTTTGTTTATAACAGGCTATTTTAAAATGATAGGAACTTGATATTGTAAACATAATAAAATAAAAGAAGAAAGGGATAAGAAATACAAATAAAGAACTCTGTACTTAAATTATATTCTTCCCCACATTCTGAATTTTTGATTTTCCATTCTTGTATTATTTTTGCCCCCACGGTAGTTATTATTTTTAATTGTTTTGTGTTTTAGTCTTCATACTAAAGGTATGAGTGGTTTACAAATCATGTTTACCATATTAGAGCATTCTGGATTTGACTGTATAGCTACTCCTACCAATAAGTTTCCTACCTACTGATGTTTCCTTTATACCCTTTAACATGTCTTTTAAGACAGGACTGATGGTGATAAAATCTGTGCGGGTTTTTTTTTTTTTTTTTCTTTTTGGTGGGGGTGGTGGTGGTGTTGGCAGGGGAAGTATCTTTCCTGAGTATCTGACAGCTTTGCTGGGTACAGTACTTTGGGCTGGCAGATTTTTCCTTCAGTGTTGTGAAAGTCTCATCCTTCTCCCTTCTGGCTTTACTGTTTTTACAGGGAAGTCTGCCATCAGGTAAACTGGGACTTCTTTAAAGTGGCAGAAGTTTATTGTTTATTTTCTCTTGCAGCTTAGAGAATCTTCTCTGTTACCTCGAAAAGCTTGATGATAACATGTCTTGAGGTTAGATTTGGTTGTATTAATTCTGATTGGTGACCTCTGGTCTTGCTATGCCTGGATAATTGTATCTTTCTCAAAATTTGGGAAGTTTTGGTTATAAGCTCTTTGAATATGTTTTTTACCCCTAGGCATTCACAAATCTTTCTTGAGCCCCTACTGTTCAGATATTTGTTCATTGCATCTGTCACAAAATTCCCATAGCTTTCATTTTTATTTCTCCTCTATATAAATTCAAATACCTGACTGAGCTCACACATTTTCATTTTTTTTTTATTTGAGGGGCAGAAGACAGAAAGAAATAAACAGACAGAGTTCCTATCTGCTGATTTACTCCTCAAATGCCCACAATGACCAAGGCTGACCCAGGCCAAAACTGGGATCTGAGAACTGAGTCCATATCCCCAAACAGGTGGCAAGGCTCAACTACTTGAGCTATAGCACCTGCTGCCTCCCAGGTGTGCACTATCAGGAAACTAGAATTGGCACTCTGAAATGGTATGCAGGCATTCCAACTGGTATCTTGCAGACCAAACGCCACTCCACACTGATTCGTCTGTTTGATCCATTTTTGTATTGATGTCTTTTGTTGTGTTTTTTATTTGCCCTTAGGATAATTTTCACTTGAAGGATTTCAATTTGATGTTTTTAAAAGCACTTTCATCTCTCTGTCAGATATCTCTGTTAGAGTATTAAATTGTTTCTCTGTGTTGTCTTGGAGTTTGTTGAGCCTTCTTAAAACAGCTGGTTTAAATTCTTCATCCAAGCATTTGACAATGTTAGAGCCTAGGTGACTTGTTTCTGGCGGCTTATTTTGAGGCTCATTGAGAGTTCTTTATTCTGGTGGAATATAACATTGTCTGAGCATTGAAGCATTGGCTTGTCACAGTCTTCATTATTTGGCTTTACTGCTGTCCTTCCAGAAATACTAAGTAGCCTGATTTTCTCTGAACCTCTGGACTCTTCTGCCACTTTAGCATTAGGTTGTACCCTAAGTTGAGGCTTACCACAAGTCTGCTGCCAATGTATGGTCAGTGCCTCAGTGAGACCTTGAGCTCAGATCTGTCCCAAATCCACATTTGATATATACTAAATTGAACTGATAATTAATTGAAGAAAGGGTCATGCATCCCTACAAGCTCAGATGTCCAGTCCTGTGACCACCAATGCTGCAATGATAGGTTAGTCTAGAGCCCACAGCCTATCCTGCCAGTACACCATGAGGGTAGGATGCAAAGCCACACTGCTATAGTCTGTCTTCTCCTGAGATGGATTCACAGCCTGAGACTACAGCAGCTAGGCACAGGCAATGGTTGCTGGAACTTAAGACCAAACAGCTGGAGCCATAGGAATCTACTTGGCTCTGAGACAGGTCTAGAGGTTCTTCCTGCAGGTACTGGCCTGGGCACAGGAGTACTAGGAAAGACTCAGTGTAGGGCTCTATGAGCCCAGCACTGAATTCTAAGACACAGTACTGTGGTTCCTTACTGTCTTATCAAGGATGTAAAAGAGATGATAATGACAGTCTCAGTAGGCAAAACCATATCAGGGTCTCATGGTCACCAGGCCCTGAGAAATCTTGGGATTGTACACTAGGTACAGATGAGGCTGACAACAGTATGTGCCAGGGTGAGTCTGTCCCACCTGGACATAGGTCTCTGTCTCATGTCAGGGAAAATCTAGAAGCTCTATACACAGGTACTGCAGTACGGACAGGGATCACTAGAATATGCCCAATGTTGGGTTTTATCAGCCTAGCACTGTGTCCCAAGACTCCATGTCATGGTTCCTTGCTGTCTGCCCAAGGTTGGAGAGGCATGATAAAGGCAACCCCTTGGTCACCCAAGCTGATACCAACCTGGGTATAAACTGGGTCTCACAATCACCAGGTCTGATGCAATTTCAAGTGTTCATGAAAGGCCCATGTGAGGCTGGCAATGACACATGACAAAACAAGTCCATCCCATCGGTGTTCACTTCTCTGGTCACAGTGCAAGTCTAGGTCTCTATCTATAAGCACTGGCCTAGGGTAGAGGTCTCTAGGTCTGGGTCAGAAGTCTTCTTCTATTGTCTGCAGCATGATGGGTGAGGGGCAATGAAGATGGTCTCTTAGCTATTTGGCATAGGAGGGACCCAAAACTCAGTCAACAGGCATAAGCCTGGGGATAGGGGCTATGGGACCCTGCTGGGCACTAGTTTCTGTCATTGCAGGCCTGGTATAGTATTTCAAGTCTAAGGTCTGGACTTAATTCATTCTTTCTCTCTACACTGTGCTACTTGGAGCTGAGGGAGAGGTGATGTTGGTATCTCTTTCCTTCCTGCTTGCTTCAGTGCGTCTTATGATTATGTAAAAACTAGCCACTGTGGTTTTTTACCTGTCTTCCATAACTCTGGTGCAGGTGACCTGGGGTGTGAATGGTTGTTCAAATTGGTGTCTCTGTGGGGAGATGATCACCTGGGCATCTTACTTAGCTCCCATCTTGCTCTATTTCCCTTGTTTATTTTTTCTTAGTTTTACAAGTAATGCTTATGCATTACAGAATTTTGGAAAATATTTAAACTTGCAATGATATCTTAGAATTTTAAGGATTATTATAAAGTGTTGTAAATAACTAGTTTAAATAACTAGTCTTCCAATGCTAAATTAGGGTTAGTAATGTAATATGTCACAAAAATGGAAAAGATACTAGGGCCTTTACCTAGGTCTCATAAAGACAAATGTTTCCATGGTACTATTTCTTAGATAAAAAAAAAATGAATAATATCTGGGGAATTTTTAGGAATCCTCATTTAAAAATAAGGCTAAGAAAAATAGGAATTGTAAAGGTAAACAAACTACTGCCTATCTCAATTTAAAATAATTTTATTTAATATCATATAATGGTATGCATCTAATGATACATAACTGAAGATGTTATACTTCATGTAATTTATACTTAACCAAGTGTTTTATAACTTTTGATCCAGGGCTCCAAAGGAGATCCAGGTTTTTCCCCAGGTCAAGCTGTTTCTGGAGAAAAGGTAATTATTTTCCCATGAAATAAAATCATGGCAAAATATTTCAAGCATTTTAAAAATCATTTTTTAAAAAAATTTAGATTTCCCTGTATCAGAGATTTAAATAAGGAAGAAATATTTGAATAATTAAGTAAATTATAGTATTACTTTGACTTACTGTTTAAATCCTAGCATTAATTTTTATGAGTGACTGTTGTAGCCTACCATTGTGTTGTCTGCCAGAAAGATTGTGGTGTCAATATATATGCACAGAATATACATAAATTCCAATGCCATTTTGTCTCCTTTTAGGATAGCTCCATATACTCTATCTTGTTAGTACCACAGTAATTTTCTGTGAGAGAAGCAGTCATCACTGTCTTGTTTTGCAGTGGAGAAAACAAAATTCATAGATTTAAAGCATGCATCACATGGCTAGTAAGTGCTGGAGATCATAATATATCCAAATTTTTTGACTTCTAGCTCACTATGCTTTTTATTTCATCATAACACTGTCATAACACTGTCAAGTAAAAACACACATTTAGCAACAAAGATAACAACAAGAGATCAACAAAAACTACTGGGTTGAGGATGCTGCTTTATAGTGCAAATAAACACAAATAGATTCTGTAGGAGGACATCTGGGAAGCTTTGTTTAGACAAGCACTTGATAAATATCATACAATTGCAGGATATTTTGGTTAATGTGGTATACATCACAAACTAAAATTACCTAAACAATTTTGATGATTCCTAGGTTGAAGCTTTGGAATTTCATTACTATGATGAAACTGAGTTCACTAAGTCTAAATAACTTAAAAGAAGGTATGAAAGTTTATTACTAGAAACACAGTATTCCCAGTCATCTCTTAATATTACAAGAAAAAATATCTGACAGTTTAAGAAATACAAATGCCATCTTTTGAGATACAAATATAGATTTAATTTCTTAAAAGTTAGAAATCAGAGGTCTGCTCTATTTCAGTGACCACTTTAAATAGATCTCCCAAGTTAAACTCATATTTCTATCAAATGCTTGATATTATCTTTCCTGTGGTTTCTCTGTACAAAATACAGGGTGATTCAACATGGGAGTTGAGGCTTGGAAGTATGTCAGTGTTTTTATTTTTACATTTTGAATTACTCATATACCAATTGTGGTTAATACTACATAACAGCAATGTAGTAAGTTATAGAATTTAATAGTATGACACCATTGAGCCTTAAGTAAAATCTTTTAAAATTAAGAGACTATTTCTAAAATGGTAATATTTTGAAGCAAGCTATTAGAAATTATATTTACATTAAATTGGGTTCACATATACTGAAGAGAAAGGGGATTAATTGTACAATACAATCTGAATACAAAAAATACAAATATTAAATTAGTAGGAGCAGAAGGGATTGGAAAATAATTCTATATCAACTATTTGGCCATTTTTATGATAAGATGTGGTTAATAATAAAGCAATAAAAGAAATGGCAGTGGTTCATCTTTTGTCATATAACATCTACTAAGTAACATCTATAATAGGTCATATACAAGTTTTTAAGCCCTTTTGGAACCATAAGGTCATGCACCTTTTTAAAAATTTTTTTAAAAAATGATGTAATTTACATTTCCTATAAGACAAGTGAGAAACCATCAACATCATCAGCACTATTCTTTTCAGACAGAGGTACTCTGTAGGGAAACTGATTCATCTATGATTAAAGCTAATGGAAGGAGACCATTGACCATTCCCATTTTCCTACTGCATTTTTTTGTGCTATAACTAATGAAATTTAAAAAATAGAGAAACACAACATGGAAAACTCATATAAAATTGTCATTCTACCACAAATGAGGGCTATTTAGTACACTTTTGAGAAGAAGCATTACAATGATGGAAATGGAAAAGCAGTACATTGTTAATAATCAGAAACATCCTTTTTCTTCCAATCAATTTGATGACATTAAAGTAGGTAATGCACTAAAAAACTAAACATAAATAGTTACTAAGGAGTTTATTTAGCATTATTACCTTTTTTTTCAAACATAACTTTTTTTTTTTCACATGCAATAATTCTGTTACAGTGGAAAGAGGGAAAGGAAAGAAAAGAAGGGAGGAAAAGAAAAAGTGCACCTTGACTCACCGGGTTCTCGGTGATCTAAGTCTCCAACTTTGCTATCTCCTCAGCAATTCCTGAGACATGTTCTCCCATCTCGATTCACACAGCCTGCTCTGTGTCTCCTCTTGGCACTTCCTCCACACACACACCTTCCCTCTCACCAGTGTACCTTTCTTATTCTTTCATGATGTGGGTAGGATGGCCCTCATTGGTAAATCAAGTCTGTGCAAGCCACACACAGGGAACTTCCAATAAATTTCCTCCATTATTACTCTGAGCAATCAAGTTCAGTACAGCTACTGCTGCACTGAGGAAGGCACTGGTGTAGTGGGGAAGCAGAAGTGCATTTTCTAGACCATGTCATGTGAACCCAGATCTACCCCACACGCCCTCCAGGCTCAGGTCTTGGTATCCCACCAGGCCTCAGGGCAACAGGAAAGCCTCACAAAGCACTTGCAGAATTTTTGGAATATATTTAGGTTTTTTAAACTGATAGGAATTTTGGGATGAGAGGGTGAAAGCAGCAAGAACTCAGAGGTGGGAAAGTATAGTCTAGGTATTCAGCCCTGGAAGAAATAAGGTTTGAGAAGGGAGATGGAACTTGAACCAGAGTGTGAAGATCAGAAAAGAAGGTAGTAAGAGTTCAACTCCAGAGATTAAAGGGAGCTCTACTTTAAAAGTCTCGTTTATAACTTAAATCTCTGTGGTTTGTTTGTAGGGTGATCAAGGGCTTTCTGGACTAATGGGCCCCCCTGGTATGCAAGGTGAGAAGGTAAGATATAGGTTTACATCGACATATTTGGATATAATATGAATCTGGAGCTCTTCAACTTTTATCTTCTTTTGAATTTAAGCCAAACACCAATGTTTTTAATTCCTTTTCTTGGTAAAGGGAAATTAGGAAGTTACCCTAATTCAAGAAAGTGGTAACCACTAAAGACAGGATCATAAGAAAAATAAAACACAGGTTATTAAGAGTGAGCACAAGGGACGGCGCTGTGATGGAGTAGACTAAGCCTCCGTTTGCGCTGCTGGCATCCCATATGCGTCCTGGTTCTAGTCCCTGCTGCGCTTCTGATCCAGCTCTCTGCTAATATGCATGGGAAAGCAGTGGAAAATGGCCCAAGTGCTTGAGCCCCTGCACCCACATGGGAGACCTGAAAGAAGCTCCTGACTCCTGGCTTTGGATGAGCCCAGCTTTGGCCATTGCAGCCATTTGGGGAGTGAACCACCTAAGGGAAAACTTTTCACTTTGTTCCACTCTCTGTAACTCTCTCTCTCAAATAACTAAATAAAACCTTTAAAAAAAAGAGAGAGAGAAGCACAAAATTCACCTGCAGGAGAAAGACTCCTCCTCTGTACCTTCTTTAAAGATTCATTTTATTTATTTGAAAGGACCTTTTTTAAAGATTTATTTATTCGAAAGACAGAATTAGAGAGAGAGAGCTTTTTCGATTAGTCTATCTTCAGTTTACTGATTCACTCCCCAGATGGCCATGACAGCTGGGGCTGGACCAGGCTGAACCCAGGAGCCTAGAACCTTATCCAGGTCTACCATGTGGGAGACAGGGGCCCAAGCACTTGGACCATCAGCAAATGACTTTGCTGTTTTCTCAAGCACATTAGCAGGGAGCTGGATCAAAAGTGGAGCAGCCAGGACTCCAATTGGCACTCATTTGGGATCCCAGTGTCATAGGCAGCAGCTTAACCTCTGTGCCAGAATGCCAGCCCCAGCCTTTCCATTTTTAAACTAAGACAGTGACCTCTGAGTCTTTGATGGTACTTTATAACTTTTATGCACAAAGTGAAGATCACTTGCTTATAGACTATGAAGTTGAATTTTTTAAGGGGCTCTTATTGGGGACTGTTAACCTCTGACGTGATGTATCAACAAATATGAAGTTGGATGGATAGTGTGGAAGTGAAGATTTGGGATAGCTAGTTAAAACTTGTAGTCACATGCATATGACTAGATTTTTTTCTGAGGTAGAAAGGAATACTAACACAGTTGTAATTATTTTTTATTTTTAACATTTATTTATTTTTTATTTGAAAGAGTTACACTGAGAGGAGAAGCAGAGAGAGAGAGAGAGAGGTCTTCCATCCTATGGTTCACTCCCCAAATGGCTGTAACAGCCAAAGCTGCGCTGATCTGAAGTCAGGAGCCAGGAGCTTCCTCTTGGTCTCTCATGTGGGTGCAGGGCCCCAAGCACTTGGGCCACCTTCTACTGCTTTCCCAGGCCACAGCAGAGAGCTGGATTGGAAGAGGTGCATCCGGGACTAGAACCCAGCACCCATATGGGATGCTGGCGCTGCAGATGGAGGATTAACCTACTGTGCCACGGTGCCGGCCCAGTTGTAATTATTTTTAAAAATATATTGTGCACTTCCTTGAATTAACACAGTGAGACTCTCTGTTCAGCTTTTTTGTTTTTATTTTCTCTAACATTAAGTTGTTGGTTTTTTGCAGAAATGAGAACGATGTAAAATTTTTTTCAAATGTTAAGGAGCCAATAACATAGTACGGCAGTATTGGACTAGAGAGGGATTTCTAATAATGACTGCTGTTGGTGTCTTCATGTCATTTTCCTTCCTCCTGGGAGAAAGATATGTGTTGTAGGTGATAGCCAGGCTCTGCTTGTTTAGTTCAAATCCCGTCTGACATTTTCTAGGTCCCATCAACCTTGCATGGGTTGTTTAACCTCTCCCAGCTTCAGTTATTTCATCTGTAAAATGTGAAGATAATACTACCCACTTCGTCAAGAATTTTAAGGAAGATGAAAAGAGTTAACCTATGCCCTACAGTGTCAAACAAATAGCCCCTAAAAATGTTAATCACCCTGTATTTGTCTGTTTTGGAAAGAATCTGGACACTGTTTTTCTTCATAAAATCCTGTTAAAGGACTGCATTGTAAAATGATGGGAAAGGTTTTCATATCATAATGACCACATTATTATTTTTATAGCCTCAGACTAGTCTTCATCCTAGGCAGTAATTAAAGTCTGATAATTCCCTTGACCTTGTGGGTTGCTGCTAAGGAGAAATGGAACTTCACAGTGATTCTTTCCAACAGAGTTAATCCTGATACACAGTCATGAAACTGTTTAATGGGAAGTATACTGATATATAGCATCAAAAAACTCTTAATGTGGCTATGATCTTAATTATTGTATTTAATATTAAATGTACAGTTGTTACATCTATACAGTTACACGTCATATCAGAGACAAACTAATCATTGTGCTCTGTGGTTAAATCATGCCCATGTTTTGTGAAAATAGCAATTCAGAAAGTGAAACATTAGGAAATGTTGAATCATTTTTATACAGAGTAGTATATAACATACTATTTCTGGGAAGAAGAGATATTTATAAACAAAAGAAAAAGGACTGATTTTAACGATTAGATCAGATTATCATTTTAACTTTCAAGTGGTACTTAAAGCAGAAGATACTAATTTCCAAAGACCTGTTTATATGTTGAATGGCCTGGGATTTTAAAGTAGTAAGAAGATTGCATTCTTTTTTGTCTGTACAAGTCTAGTAAAGTAAAATAACATTACTTTAAACAAACTGAGCTCTGAAATGAATTGAATATCTTTCAAGGATTTTTTGTTCTCTTACATTATTTTTTAATAACTTTTAAAATCTGGCTTTATTGCTAAGTAGAAATAGACTCCATTAATATCAGGAATCTTGGATATGTTATCAACCCATAGACTGTTGCTGAATTTTCTCTAGAGAAGTTTTAGTTGAATGTATGTAGAAATTAAATTGTTTTCTATCAAATGAAATATCTATGCTTTACTGAGGTTAACAGTAGTAGTTTAGAACAGTGTTAAAATAGTTGAGATAATTTTATAGAATTCGTGAGAGTGTTTGCCTCCTTTTCAGATTGTGTCTGTTAGTGAAAACTATTTACGGATTTTTGAAAAGTGAGTATTGCTAGGAAGAAGACATAAAGATTCCATCTAAGCCTAAACTAATTCTGCATCTAACAGACAGGGAGAAGTTTCCATCATCATATTCTGTGTGTGCGTGTTTGTCTTAGTACTTCTTCTATCATAAGAAACACTTGAGACTAAATATGTCATAAAGAGATTTATTTAGCTCACAGTTCTGAAAGTTCAAGAGCATAACGTCTGCATCTGCGCAGCTCTACTGAGGGCCTCGGGATGGAAAGCATCAAAGTGGTGGGAACATGTGCAAGATTGGTGAGCAGCGGATGTGGAAGAGGGATTCAGGGGAGCCAGGTGACTTTATGACAACTCCTTCTCATGGGAAATAATCTAGGCCCAGGGGTCTAGTATTAATCCCTTCTGTAAACTAATTGCCTTCCACTAGGCCATGCCTGTTAACATTTTACCACCTCAACACCACCACACAGAGGACCATCCTGCCAGCACAGGAACCACTGAGGAACACACTCAAACCATACATACACCGTGGTAGTGTCTTACTTTAATATGTGTCTAAGGTATAAATGCATTCAAAATCAGCTTGATATACTGTTCCTGTGGTTTTTATAGAACATGAAAGGGCAAGACTGACTACTGGGGGGAGTTTGTGTCTTTTTTATTGAATTAAAAAATTGGTTTATTTTGGACCACTTAAGTAACTCATAGAGTTAGTTCCTACAAGCAAGGTTCATGCTAGAAGATCCTAGAAGAATGACTCACATTGGCTGTAGTCTGGGGACTCCCATTCCTTTATCTCACTGTTCTCTCTCAAAGTACCACAGGAGGTGTTCAGATCTACCCAGACAGGTTAAAAGGGTAGCTCAAAGTCACTTAGAAAATTATACCAGTTTTGAGAGAGAAAACTTACCAACATTAGATCTGCTATTATTTTAACTATTTGTTTCATATTTTCAGAGATGAGTAAGATACTTGGTGCTTTAGTCTGAACATGATTTGGCTCTCCAACTAATATACATATTTAAATTTAATAGTCATAAATTAATAGTACTGAAGAGGGAGTAAGCTAATCCCATTATGGTGATTGGGAGTTGCGCCTGTTGGGAGCCTTTGGGTCATTGCGGGGTTTGCCCTCAGAAAGTTAATCTCATGAAGGGTTAGTTATGAAAACTGAGTTGGACCTAGCTGCCCTGCCCTCTCTCTACTTCCTGGCATGTCATCTGATCATTCCATCAGATCATTCCACCAGACAGCTAAACAGACTGCCTACCAGACTTTGGATTCCAAACCTCCAAAAGTGTGAATGTAAATATAAACTTTTCCTTTTTTTAAAAAAATAAGATATATTATTCATTTGACAGGCAGAGTTATAGAGAGGAAAAGATAGAGAAAGAGAAAGAGGGGAAGAGAAAGAGAAAGAGAAATGGAAAGAGAGAGAGAGAGAAATATCAATCTTCCATTAGCTGGTTCACTCACCAAATAGCTGCAATGCCTGGTTCTTAGCCAGGCCTAAACAAGGAATTTAGAACTCCATCTGGGTCTCCCACATGGGTAGCAGCAGCCCAAGTGCTTGGCCATCTTCTTCTGCCTTCCCAGGCACATTAGCAGGGAGCTGGATCAGCAGTGGAACAGCCAGGATTTGAACCAGCACTCATATGGGATGCTGGCCTCATAAGTTGTAGCTCAACTTGTTGTACCTCAATACTGACCCCAAACCTTACCTTTCTAAGTTAGCTTCCCTCATGTATTTTAATTATGATGACAAAAAACTGACTACTGCATCTAGTTTCTCATTCATATGAAATGATTCTCATATAGAACTGTTTTATGAATTATTAAAACAAGTATTATTAAT